ACAAAATATCATGAGGTCGTCATGATTTTGCAAATTTCCCACCTTGGAGTGCAGTTTGCACAAATTGTTTTAAAAATGCACTCAGCCTGCAAACATCACTGACGAGTCAAGATCTGCACAAAGTGACAGAAACACTGAAGCAGCTGCACATTTTATTCTTATTGTCATGTTTGTCCTGTTTGTCAGGTGACAGAAGAACCAACACAAAGCTCAGGGAGTGATGGTGACACAAGGTCACAGGTGAAACTGGAGGATGACCTGGTGGTTTGTGACTGTATTTGAAGCTCATGTGTGACTGCATGTATGTGGAGTGTCTCACTGTTATTCATCAGGTGACAGAGGCAGCTCTGCCATGTTGTAGCTCAGAGGTGAAGAGGCGAGCTCACAGGTGACTGATGGTTTGATGCTATAGATTAACTAGTATTTATTATCATGACAATTGTCAGGCTGCTTTTAGTCATCCCAGTATCCTCAGTTGAGGCTGAAAGAAGCTTCAGTGCTCTCAGAAGACTAAAAACATGGCTAAGGTCAACAATGACTCAAATGAGATTAAACAATGCTGCTGTGTGTCCACCAGGAGAGGCTGGACAGTATAGATGTAAAACCAATATGCCAGCAGTTTATCTCAGTTGGCTGCTTCACATAGTGGACATTGAGTTGTTGTGTGAGACACCAGTAGTATTAATGTCTGTTGCTGTAACAGTAGCTCATGCTTAGAATAGAAAATCCCAGCTCACTGATCTGATCGGGGCGATAGTGTGGCTAAAATGTTGCATAATGTTGCTGAGAGATCTTTTACTTTGTGGTAATCTTAGATGGACATAAACCACCAGGTCATTCAGTGTTCCCTTAGTGCTAATGTATCAGAGATGTTGGTGTAACTGAAGTAATGTTGTTAAGTCCTTGAACTCATATTCGTTTATTGTCATGACTGTATTTCAGGGCTGGACTGGCCATCGGGCATACCGGGCATTTGCCCGGTGGGCCGCTCGTGATTTTTCGTTTTTATGGGCCAATGGGGTTTTCTTCCTTTTCTTTTTTTAACGGTATAAATGAACAGGTGGTGGATTGGCCAGTTGGTCATGATCAACTCTGGGCTGGACCAATTACAGCCGAGGAGGTCAAACTTTAAAGTTAAGGTGAAAAGGAACGCGATTTGTCCCGCACTACTTCAGCTAGAAAGTTGCTAATTCAATCATGAAACTGATCAATGATCAGCTGATCGGCTTTTCTCTCTGCGCCAGAAAGAGGAAACCAGCGGAGGTCGCATTAAACAACAGCAGCACGTTTAAGCTTGATCAGCTGTTGTTAGAATTTATTTAATATTAATTTCTAGTATCAGCTGATGTTTGCTGGAGCCACAGCTGTAAAGCTGCTGGTCATGATGTCGGTTTGGATATGTGGTGAGAGGGAAACATGAAGATGAAACCAGGAGATGTCCTTATGTAACCGGTGTGATTCTGCGTTGTGTCTCTCCCACAGGGGAATTGTAGAAAAGGGGAGAGGCAAAAGGGGTACACTGTATTTATAGGATTGCACCAAAGAAGAAGAAGAAAAGAATGAGGAGGGGCTCTAACTGATAATGAACATAACTACAGGCTTGGAGGTCCTAAAAGTCAGGTATAAAAGGAACAGTTTGGGGGTTTAGAACACATTTTGTGTAATTATAACAATGTTATTTATGACTCTGTTACATTCACCCCCCAAGAATTACACAAAATCCTAAAGGGTACACCAAAAAAAAAAAGTATAAACCCACAATAACAGATACAGTGGCCTCAAACAAATTCACATCGCATATACAATGAATTAGATCAGCAACATAGCTTCCTCCAAGGAGGATAAGAGACCTGAGACCCGCTCGGCGCCTAGCAAGATCCCAGGACACACTATAGACAAAATGAGGTGCCATTTACACCACACAAAACAGGCCATAATATCTATGGGCATCACACATCAGATAATTATTTTAAAAGTGAGACATTTTAAATGAGAATAAGAAAGAAAAGTATTTCTTTGTGCCCCCCTCTCCCTGTTAATGCCCTACCTGCCCCCCTGGCAAAACTTTGCTAGACCCGCCCCTGCACAGTTACCAGCTGTCAGCTACCTAAAAAAGGATCCTGGTGTTATTTGTCTCTCAGAAACAGTTCATAACTTCCCTTCAACTCATTCATGTCACCTAAAAGGTAAACCTGTTTCTCCATCACCTGTTCAGCTCTGATGATTCAGTAAGGACATCTCCTGGTTTCATCTTCATGTTTCCCTCTCACCACATATCCAAACCATACATGACCAGCAGCTTTACAGCTGTGGCTCCAGCAAACATCAGCTGATACTAGAAATTAATATTAAATAAATTCTAACAACAGCTGATCAAGCTTAAACGTGCTGCTGTTGTTTAGCGCGACATCCGCTGGTTTCCTCTTTCTGGCACAAAGTGGCGATAAACAAACAAGAGAGACGATCAGCTGATCATTGATCAGTTTCATGATTGAAGTAGAAACAGGAGAGAGAGGGGAGAGAATGAGAGAAGAAGAGGCCGCTGTGCAGCGTAGCGACAGAATAACTCCAGCTTTGTGTCTTTTTCATTGTAGCTGAAGTCCAGGTCAAACTGTTCCTTTTCACCTCAACACGAAACGCGTAATATTTTCTCTGAATACCAGACGATTACGTTTTTTACGGGATGGTTGGCAGCTACTAACTAACCTTATGATTAAAATAAAGTTCACTATCAGTAACATCATACCACTCACCCAGCTGTATAGAATCTCCGTCATGCTAGCTAGTACGCAGTACGAGTTATTGTAACTGACTGTAAAACGTCAGCACAACGAAAATAAACTCCACCTAAACTTGGTTTATATCTGACCCAGATAGACTGCAGCTCATAACTTCTTACCTGAAGTTCAGTTCACCTGACACTCGGACCGGCGGCCGCCTCGGGTCTCTCCTTCTCCTGCCTCACCTTTCCCTCATCCACCTGCTGGAAGCTCCGCCATAGCCACCACCAAACAACTGAGTTATTTTTACACATCCACCACCTTTCATTGTTTATACCTGTTAAGAAATAGAGAGATATTTTTAATGTGTATCTGCTCATTAGATTGTTTTATGTACTTTAATCATTTAAAAAAAACAAACCCATCGTCCCATAAAAATGAAAAATCACCATCGGCCAGCTATGCCTGCAGATTACACTTAGAAGATTCTGCCTAGAAGGGGGGATGTAATAAACCCCTCTACACAGCCTTAGCTAATATTTGACCTGCATTTAAACAAATAGAATTACAGGGATGCTCACACAAGCCTGAGGAGCGAGCCTCAGAGGGATGTGGGCTCACTGCAGGGACTGAGCTGTGGAGGAGAGAAACCACAGCCGTGGGGATCAGACACCTGAAGGAACACGAGCTGAGCTGTACGTGCCAAAATAGGATCTTTCCAGCAACACAGAACCATCACACAAAAGCTGCTGGTGGTTTTACTTGTGTAATGCACTTTAGAGCGCTTGTTTGTATGTGCGAGCTTGTTTCAGGGATGAGAGGAAAAAAGAAGCGAAAGCACGGCGGTATTTTTCCTGCCCGCCGTGACGCTGCTGAGTGTGGCTGGTGGAGGGACGTGTTTTTGAATTAGGAGGATTTGGACATCAGCGTTTTGATATGAAGCTTTGTCAATGAGCCAAGACTGTGGTGGAAACACCACATGATGAGTTTATCATAATTCCACAGAAGCCCCACTTTTTTTAATCACAAAGTGGCGGAAACACGTGTCTGACACTCAAAATAAAGCCTTTTAGGCTCTTTTGAAGAATAACGGCGGTCATAACAAATATTGACTTTCAAGCCCAGTAGAATTGTTCAAACTCTTTTCGCACCATATAGCTGGTTTCAGTAAATCGCTGCACCCATTTGTCATTTTCCTATCAAGACATAAAGACACGAGGGGTGGCTTGAGACTTTTGCACAGTACTGTATATAAAAGTCATGTATGGAAGTTTTTTCTACTATTGCCGAAGTATCACATCAGTGAATTTGCAAAGTGTATAACTATCCTTCCCCCTTCAGCTTACTCACCACGATTCATTTATTCTTTGGTAATACAAAAGCTACTGGTTGGCTAATGTGTGTTCTATATTAGATGAGTGAAACCACTGCTGATGGCAGCAGGGCTCCTTTTTGGTGTTTGTGTGCCAAAGTGATCTCTCCTGTAATTACAAGCCCTGAGGTGTAGCCCACCGCCTTCTTCTTCATCGGGTTCAATGATGTCATGTAATGAATTTTCCCAAGATGAAAGATTTCTTTAAAAAAAAATGAAATAAAAATAAATAAATCTATATTTTTTACCAGTGCATGTTATTCTGAATCTTAGAAAAGCTGTAAGTGGACCCGTGTGAGAAAGCACACACCTACAAGCAATAAATACAGATGGTTATTCTTGTGTAAATCACGTGTACACGTGCAGTTTAAATCCTGTGACCTCGAGCCGTGTAACAGAGCGCACTGAAGGCGCCAGCAGCCGAGACGATGAAACAGGTGCACACGTCACGACTCCTGATTGTGTGTCTGTCTGTCTCTGTGTGTTAATGTGTCTGTGTGCGTGCGTGTCTGTTAATGTGTGTCTCTGTCTGTGTGTGCGTCCGTGTGTCTGTTAATGTGTCTGTCTGTGTTTTAATGTGTCTCTGTGTGTGTGCGTCTGTCTGTGTGTGTGTGTGGTAATGTGTGTCTCTGTGTGTGTCCATGTGTGTCTGTGTGTGTGTCCGTGTGTGTGTTAATGTGTGTCTCTGTCTGTGTGCCTGTGTGTTAATGTGTGCGTCTGTCTGTGTCTGTTAATGTGTCTCTGTCTGTGTGTGTCTGTGTGTTAATGTGTGCGTCTGTCTGTGTGTGTGTCTGTGTGTTAATGTGTGTCTGTGTCTGTGTGTTAATGTGTGTGTGTCTGTTAATGTCTGTAAATGTGTGTCTCTGTCTGTCTGTGCGCGCACACATACACACAACAGCAGGACAATGTTTTTGTTTCTTAAAAACGACACTTTAATCACACAGCACAGCTTTTATCTGAGGCATGTGGCAACAAGAGTACACTGGGAAGTTAACACGGACTCCAGCACATACAAAGAAGTGATAGACACAAAGCAACAGAGGCGGCGCGATTTCATGTCGGTGCGACTGGCTGCTGCGTATTTAACACACAACTTAAAAACATTTGTTGGCGACGCCGGTTTGAAAAATAAAAAAACAACCATTCGTCTCCCACAGTGATGACGCAGCTTCATCAGTAGTGTTTGTTTCACTGTTAGAAAAACAACAATCACATCTGAAACGCTGGTGAGTACAAAAAGAAAACTGTAAACTGAATACATGTAGTGAGTCCGTGCTTCATGAAACACACCGAGGCACTTGGTCAACACATCCCACACCTTGTACGATTGCACAACATTTCTTGGACTTTTGGTTTGTGATACTGACTTCACTTATTGTCAGCATAAGCTTTCAGAAGAGGGATTAGTGGTGCTTATTGCAATAGGAGGCACGCTGGCTTCGCTTTTTGGCACGTCTGACGCTGAATTGCATTTCACTTTCAACGTCCTGTTAAAACAGTTGAGTTTCTTTGGAGAGGCAGAGGCCGCCCGCTCTCTTTTTGAGTTCCGCTTGCATGTCTTAATGATCTCTTCCCGTGTGACGGGAATACTGTCAGGCTTGTCCTGGTTGCCAGGGACTTCACAAACATCCATGTGCATTGCTGTTTCAGTTCTTGTGGTGGGTGTGTGGTTATCACCACGATAACGGCTGGTGTCCGTTGCACATTCATGGCAGCTTTTGTGTAAGGAGCCTGCTGAGGGGGAGGGGCTTTGAGGCTGTGCTGTGGTGCTGATATTTTGGCTACTGTCAGGTAATGACATTTCATGCCTATGAACTACGACTTCTCCAGCAGTCTCAGAATCAGAGCCAGGTCCTGGTCCTGGATCCGGGCCAGCGTCCTGCTTTGGGCTTGTGAATCTCTGGTCTCCTACTGAGGCTGCCTGCAGGGCCGCAGTATGAACACAGTGCTTCCTGAAGTGACAGGTGTGGGGAGCTCCTTGCCTGGGGGTCACCAATCTCCCCTGTGAGCAGTGGTGGAAATGAGTGAGTGGACAGTGGAAGTAGTGCATACAGCACTCCACGTGTGTGTAGACTGGGTCCAGGTTTGTTGGTAAAAGGGTCGCGTTTTGTTTGCTGAGGGGGCTTCCTGAGAGGGGGAAGAGCTGAGAGGTTGGAGGGCAGGAGCGAGAATCCGGCGCACAGGAATGTGGGTTCCACTGCTGAAGCAGATGAGGATCCCCACATGTGCAGTTGGTGTTTTGCGAGTACTGGCACCTGCACGGTGTGCTCAGCGTGGCTACGTGCCCATTCTCAGATCCTCTTTCACCGGCTTCTGTGTTCGAGTAATGAATGTTTGAAAAAGGAGCAGCGTGGTGGTGAGGAGGAATTCTGTTATAAAGCTGAGTGCTGGAATCATGCCCTTCGTGCAGTTTATCCTCAGTTTTTTGACTGGATGCTAAAGGCTCCAGCTCATAATGTTCCACCTCACCGCCCTTGCAGTCCAGCTGGTATTTCGCCAGACCAGAACTCTTCCCCTGGGGCGAGGGGCTGCTGGATGTGGTTTCGGTGAAGGACTGACACTGCAGTTTTTTGGGCAGCGGTATCTGGCCACAGGTGCCCTGGGGCCCCAGGCAGCGGCACATGCACTGAAAAAAGAAGGTGGCAAAGGCCCAGCTGATGCACATGATCAGCATCATGAACATGCCCAGCTGCGTGTAGGCCAGGACAGTTGACGGCATCATCATTGCGCCGGCAACAAAGGTGGTTAGTGCTGCCATTGCAATAGCAGAACCCATCCGACTGAGGGAAAATATCACCTTTCCCTCACGGTCCGGCTCTGGGGCAAGTCGGTAGGCCACGCCGTAGTGGACAGCAAAGTCCACGGACAGTCCGACCGCCACTGAAATGGTCACAGACTCCAAGACATTGAGCTCCCAGCCCAGAAGCACCAGAGAGCCCACTGTGACAAATATGGTCCCTGCAATGGACAGGATGGCATACAGGCTGATGATGAAATTCCAGGTGGTCAGGAGCATGACGCTGAAAGCAACAGCCACTGACAGCGCCATAGCAATCAGAGTCCCATCTGACAGGCTGTCCTGGAGGTCATAAAACTCCAGGTTGCTCACAAACCAGCCATAGCTGAGGCCTGCTGGGGCATAGCGAAGCTCCTCCTCAATCCAGGCATCCACCTAAAACAGAAAGACATTGCTAACATTATAAAATATCTTGTTTCACCAGTGGAGATGTGTCCAGGTGATGCTGGGCTGTGCATACCTCACGGTAGAACTGGTACATCTTCTCATAGGCCAATGTGAAGAGGAAGGTGCTCTGGAACTCTAAAACAATGGCTCTGATGGTGTCGTTGATGTCAAATCGAGGTCCAGGGGTCTTGCTGTCAAGGTGGTAGTTAGTACTTCGATCCAGCTCCATGATGGCTCTTTTGATACACAACTCAAAGACATCCTGTTTGTATGGGAAGATGGACTGACTGCAGCAAGGGTAGACAGAGGCCTCATCGCAGTCCTGGTTCTCCATCCACTGTTAAAAACAGAAGAGGTAAACCAGAATCGGTCGGGTTGCTTTCTGAAACTTTATGGCTTAATTCATTTATGGCCAATGTCTAAAAGGACTGCAACTGAAAAATGAAAAACTTCCATCCACATGGATGTCTTGAAATAGCGTGTGTAACGAATTCTAAGAGAAGGACTGAAGAATGAGACCTGTATGCTCACTCCTCACCAGCACTCTTCTCTGTGCTCATCATAAACAGTGCTAACAGTTCTCTGTGAAGGTTCTCAGTCATCCAGGTCATCGTAGTCTAAGGAGCTTGGAAAGAAAAGCGTCTGGACTTGTTTAAGTTGCTTGAAGACGTTTTGCTTCTCATCCGAGAAGCTTCTTCAGTTCTAAGGGTGAAATGGTGGAGAGTCCCAGTGGAAGTATCTCCCCAAAGAGGGACAAAGGGACCCCCTGATGATCCTCTACGTTTTGTCCTTTTGTCCCTCTTTGGGGGGGATACTCCCACTAGGTTTAAATCTGGGACTTAAACAAGTCCAGATGCTTTTCTTTCCAAGCTCCTTTTCAAAGTGATCGCTAGCGACACAGCTTTGTTAGCATAGCATAAACACAGTGAAGCTGGAGGATGAACGCTAACTTTTTTCCACTTGATAAAAGTTAACATGAGGGTTCCTGATGGTTAGAGACAAATACAATCGCATGGCAGGATGCTGTAAACGGACCAAACTTCAGTCAGGAGAACAACTGAGATAATCCATCCACAATATAAGGTTAGTCATTCATATACACATTGGCTGTAGTTACACCGTAAGGTTTAAAAACTGAGCTTTGAAATGAACAGTGGTAATAAAAACCAAGCGAGGCCAACAGTGATCACTGACTGTTTTTAGGGGCTCGTTCAGGATACAAAGCATTAAAGCATGTTAAAAACACAACAGCCTTAATAAACGCAGAGTAGTTTGGACCTGGAAGCAGCGTTCACGTGTCATCACTTAAAGACCAGATAACAAGTCATTTTTCTATATAGCAGATAAGCTAATGCTAGCCGACTGTAAGAAAGTTTAATCTGATGAAGTCAATCAGTTCAAGTGAGAATTTAACAAACGGCAGGAGAACACCAACATCAGAAATGTGTTCAACTCTTAGAGTAATCATTTTGGTTTTGGAGATCAATTGTGGTTTAATAACTTTATTTTTTTTATTGATAAAAAGGTTCTTGAGGTTTGAGTTTGCTCCCTATATCACTAGTACACATGCAGTACTGACCTGTTTGAACGTCTCGATGAAGCAGCTGGTGAAGTCCTGCTCTTCGGACTGAAAGACGAAGCTCTGGTTTCTCATTTTCTGGCAGAAGTTGAGGATCCAGACCTGAGATGCTGGACTGGCAATGTTGAAACTGCTATCCAGCATCAGCTTTCCTTTGTTTTTGGGGTTCAGGGGATCACCATTATCCACAGGGGTCACCCCCCAGATGATGGTAATGGGCATGTGGAGGTCCTCGCCATGATGGACTCTCTCAAACATGAAAAGCTTTTTGTACTCTGCATCATAGCGCTCAAATGGGTGAGAAGATCTGAAGACCTGAAACTCTGCCAGCTCCAAGGAGGGGAGCTTCATCTTTGGGTTTACACAAACCACATAGGCCCCGCCCACGGTCATGGCAAGAAACCAGAAGAGCCAGAGGTAGCGGAGCTTGATGACGATGCAGGGCAGCACCTTCTCAAAGAATATCCTCGACACCTCCGAAAATGTGAAGAGGCATTTGTTGGCCTTTTGGCAAAGACCGGCCCAGAACATCTGCGTGCAACAACCTGTCTGCTGGTGCTGAGGCTTAGCGCAGAGGAACATGTTCGGCAGGTAGCGTTCATGTAGCACCACCACGGCGGGCAGCCATGTCACCATTAAAATATAGTTGACCAATATGGCAGTGCCAGCGTAGACTCCAAAGCAGCGAATGGCAGTGATGTTGCTGACATAGTTGGCATAAAAAGCAGCAGCAGTGGTGAAGCTGGTGACAAACATAGAGAGGGCCGCGTGTTGGAGGGTCACGCCGACCGTCTCTGCCAGCTCAGCGTGAGGCTTATCGAACTTAGTGTAGTTCCACACGTCACAAAGCACAAAGGCGTCATCTGCACCGATACCTACCAGGATGATGAGGGCTGTGAGGTTCATGAAGGGGAAGAACTCAAAGTCGAAAACCATTCGGTAGAGAAAGTATGACACAATCAGCGAGCTGATGATGGCTATTATTGTCATGAGTGTGATGAAAACTGACCGCGTGTACACGCACATGACCAGCAGGACTATCACTATGGCTATGGCAGGATACACCGTGTCTGTGAGGAGGTAGTCCTGAAAGAGGTCGTGTTTAATGCCAAACTCGATCCCTGTGACCGTGGTGATGCCATCGGAGGCGTTCCAGTTCTCGAAATTGTCCAGGTAAATGTTCATCATAGACTCGCCTTTCTCCGTGGGGGAAAAGAGCATGCTGTACTTGAGCACAGGCGGAGGATACTCCAGGCTCTTGGGACTCAGGAAGTCTTTGTCTACCAGAAAGTGAAAGATCTGGTAGATGGCGTTGTATTTTGTACACTTGCGGGGTACACTGGCACACTTTAGCTGGTCTTTCCGCCGCAGGGTCATGTCCCAGCAGTCGGGTCCCAGAGTGCCGTTATGATAGTATTTGGCACACGAGCGCAGGATCTTGAGTGTGTGCGATACGTCTCGTTCTGTAATCTTCTGGCAGGATGACCTGTTGTTGAGGACAGCGATGTAGTTACCTAGCGTCCAGCTGGGGCAGCAGGAGTCAGCATTGGTGCGCTGACAAAGATTCCAGTAGTCCCGGTGGGAACGCACCTAAGGACGGAAAGAATGAATAAATAAGCGAAAACAAGCAGAAGTGTAACAGAAAAACATATTCACACGACTTGAATGATGCCAGCATACTCTTGCGTTGTCCAGATTGCACATGGATTTGATGGCCTGAATACTCCACAGGTTCTTCCCTTCAGCTGACGAGAACACCACTCTAGAATAACTGTCACCTGCAGAAAGGATGGCATAGTCAAGTAGGAGAGCAAGTTTCCCCATTTTATACAAGACAAAAAATTATTTGACCATCTGGCAAAGATCCTGTTCACGTCCATCAGCCACAGTAAAAAGCACAACTATTCCATGTCTGCTCATCCTTATATAAAGCCATAAATCTGTCTGGGAGTTGCGTGGAATGTGGACTAGTATAGTTCTTCCTGTTCTCCATTGTCCTGAATCTTACCTGGCACATCACAGAAGAACTCTTTACTGAAGTCCCACTCAGCTTGCCGTTTGTCTCTGTCAAAGTGGTCTTTGGGCCGCCTGGGCTCTTGGTGACTGGAAAACAGTAGAAGGAGAATAAGCAAACATCTGAAGCACTTAACTAAGGTGCTGAACAGGATGTGAATTTTACACAAAATACCTTGATTTCACTGGGAAGTGCTAGACCATTCTGTGTAATCTATAAAGCTTTGCATGAGTCATAACTCATAGTATTATAAAATCATCAGCCCTTGGTTAAGTTTCCTTCCCCACCCCTTTGAACCAGATATGTGATTGGCTACTCTTCACAAACAGAAGCTTTGCACAGCGGGAGGGCAGCGTTTCTGCACTTTCAGCTGGGCATGAAATCACCTTTGGCATCAGAATCAAGAGTAGGAAAAAACAGACACCCCCCCCCCCAAAAAAAAAACAAAAAACAAAAACAAAAAAACTATCTGACTGTGTTTAGACCAGTCCGAGTTGTATGATCATCCACCACTGTAACAGTATACACTCAGTGGCCACCTTATTTGACACACCTTTGTGACTGGAAATTTGTATTAACAAGCAATCAATCACATGGCTGCAGCTCAGTGCATTAAGGCTTGTAGACTTTGTGAAGATGGTGATCATGGGATGAAACCAGATTTTTCAGAAGGCCATATGCAAATGATTTCATTTTGTTTCTTGAAAGAAACACTTCAAATTTAGCAAAATGCCTAAAAAACAAAAACAAACAAACAAAACAAATGATTCATTCAAGAAATTTCAGTTTCAGATCACAATAACAACATCTAAAGTATCCTGTCCTTCTTATGTTATCCTGAAACACACATTGACATTTTGTTTGAGGCCGCTGTTGTTGTAAAACTAACTGTATTTCATAGAGTTAATTCCTAACATTCCTATTATTGTTTTGGGTTTTTTTTTAAATGGCATTTTTATATTGTTAAGTTTCCTCGGCACACTTTGGGCCACGTAGTGAGCAACAGCCAGAAGAAATATAGTATTTCTGAAGCTAAACGTGGCCCCAACCTGGTACTAGCTAAATGTAACTAACAAAATGACCAGTGAGTCTATAATAACATAGCTAGCTAACATTACAGTTGAACTATTGGAAATACCATTTCCGTTAAGTTCTGTCAGAGCAGATAGCTCCTTCTGAACAATGAGAGCAAAAATGTGTCATTTGGTACTTAAATGTGTTCAATGACTGACAGAAAATGAGGAAAAGCTCTAAAAATATTTGTAGCACAAATGTGCTGCAAATATAATAATCAGTCAGTACCAAGTTGAAAACGATCCAGAAAGAATTCTTATTCATGACTTCATGAATCAAACAGATGCTGCTGTGTCAGAAAAGGCAGCAGTCATCGCAGCTCCCTACAAGAAATCAGATAAATGACTTTCTGCAGTACAGCGAGGTACTGCTGTCATTATTCTAATAATCATAATGGTAACTCTGACTGAGCAGGGCACCCGGGGGGAGACGTGCAGATCAGTTTTTTAAATGAGCCACATTTTTAGGAGGAAAAGAGGAAGGCAGGGTAATCAGGCGGCTGTCAGAGAGAGAGAGTGACAGACGGAGGGGATGAGCCAGGGGAGCTCGCTGACAGAAGCAGGAGCCACTTTCTGATAAGCACACAATTACATGAAGACAGACACGCGGCGCAAGACAGACAAAGGCGTCCACAGAGGGAGACGGAGAGAAGAGACTTTATCTAATCAGCAGAACAGAGCTGTTTTAGAGGCTCTAATCTTAGCTACATATTTCTACACAGCATCTGCTCATAAAAAATTTAAAATTAAATCTGAATCAAAGACGGTCTACTGATTTTTAATCATGCTAAAGTGACATGCCTGTGAATATGGTGATATGCATCAAATAAGCAAAACTGAGCAACAGTAAAATTTAAGAAAGCAGATATCTGCAGTCTGATGTGTGCACGAAGACCTGAAAGAGACAGACATGCAAAGACTTGCTCTTGATTAGTGAGCAGACTCTGGCTGATGGGAGGCAGTGGCTGACCTCGTGGATGGACAAACCTCGACTATTCCCTCTCTTCTTTCAGGAGGAGATTCAGACAGGTCTGTCAACAGTATCCTTCACCCCTACCTCTGACCCCCACGCCTTTAACTCTCGCTCCCCTGTGACCTCTCTTCTTGGCTGATAGTGGAAGCCAACGGCATGAGTGCCAAACAAAGACACTATATAATGTCTTTGTTCAACCAGTAACAGTTTAATAATGTTCTCTACACTGTCACTTCAGTTTTACAGGCTCAAAAGTAATTAAACGTTTAATAATGTCTAAGAAAATTATGTAAATTTATTTGATTTAAAGATTTTTATTTTGGACCACTTGCTTTAAATGTTTCATATTTATAGTGTCCACCAGGTGACACTAATTTTTACCACTGAAAGCAACAGTTTACACTTTTTACCTTTTCCTGCAAGTTTGCCTAGTTACTCACACAATAAGTGGGTCTCACTATTGATGATTGATATTGGACAATGGTGTGTGTGTGTGTGTGTGTGTGCGTGTGTTTGTTTTTTCTGGGATTTGATACCCTGTCTATAAATATAGAGCTGTGTATAAAAATCTTTCTACATCGTAATTCTCGTTCCCGTTCAGCATGCTGTCCTGCAGTGGTATATGATGTTAAAAGAAAGAAAGCGCGTGTGTGTGTCTGTGTCTGCGTGTTTCACTTTCAAGTCTTCTCTCTTAGAAAGCCACACTCTATGTTTAAACTAAGGCCGTGATAATAAACACTGATAGCTTTTCAGTGCTTCAAAGACACTGAAAACAAAATAGGGCTCTTTGGTTCTGGCTCAGGTAGTTTATGGTGGAGCAGTTACTTTGAAGAGGGCAACACTTTACAGCACACAGGAGGCTCTGGGAATGATCTTTTAGGGGGAACGAGGAGGTAGAAACAGAGCGGTCTCCAACTCTGACCCATCTGAAGATGAGAGTGGAGGGGAGATGGATGAAGGAGCAGCAGGATAGACTTTTCCATTTCCATATTCTGGTCTCCCACAAAGACCAGAATATGGTCTGCAATGCTCTGCTATGTTCCAGCAGCCAGAGGTCTGATCCCTTGATCTACACGCTATGCTGCTGCAGTTTACCTGGAGGTGACGTGGACAGAATCCTGCACTGCTGAGGCAAAAAGAAGTAAAAGGTCTGACTGGAAAACTATAACTAATGTCTGAGGAGGAAGCCAGAAAAGCTCGTATGATGCAGCAGGGACCTGCTGTCAAAGTTTACTGAGGTAGGCTGCTGCTCGTCCATGCAGGGCTCGAAAAGTCAAAACCATAATCTTAAAGTGAACACTGAAGTCGATGGGACACAACGATGTGACAATGAGAGTACTAAAGACTCAATGAGAAGATTCGCAGGTGCATTAAACTTGTAGGTGTTCGAAGGAGATTTTACACAGACAAGTGAACAAAAAACTGTTGTGTGTTTTTCAGAGTTTGCTGCCCATGTAATCAATCGACAGACTGCACATTTTAGCGTGGACTAAGGGTTACGACAAATATTTAACATGTGAATGTGAGATTTGTCCTCCTGCAGCGACACTTGTGCAACAAATCTTTGTTTTCTTCTGCTAAAGCAAACATCTGCAGATGAACCCACCGATGAGAGGTTTAATGTCAATCGCCTTTCAGACGGCTTGATGAGCAGACAAAGTCTACAGCCTTTGGAAAAAAAGCTGCTAGACCGGCTCTCGCATGTTCCTGCACAGAGCTTCAGAAAGCATCTCAGATGAGTGTAAACTCACATTTTGGCCTGCTCATCTGCATATTTGAATGGATAATTGGCCAGTGTGGCTTTATAGCCCGTGTTCTTCACCATATTGTTCCATGTGACTAGTCGCTGGCCAATGGCTGTTCCCCGTGGCTCGAAGCCCTTGTAGGAAAAAAAGATACCAGAAATAAAACAGCAGAAATTGACATGATTATGCTTGTAGAAATGTATTGTATTAAGGCAAACTGATCATTTTATTATCACACAGTTCTCATCACGCTCAGCCAATACAGGACGTTTAAGCCCGACACACATTTTTAGCAATTTAAAAATCAAATATATTCACTGATATTCCCCCAAAATCAAACCCTCAACTATTTCATCACAATATCTATGGAAATTTAGAAATTATTAGAAATAACGTGAATAACAGTCAAATTTATGTTTGCTTTCTTGGTACTCCTGTTATGTTTGAGTTTAGTTTGCTTTGGCAAACTAAACTCAAACATAACAGGACAACATAGAACCGATCAGCCTGCATGAGTGCGTCTCTATTCCCATGTTGTTGCAGTATGTTAATGACTAACCTCGTATTGTGGATGGATTATCTCAGTTGTTCTCCTGACTGAAGTTTGGTCCGTTTACAGCATCCTGCCATGCGATTGCATTTGTCTCTAACCATCAGGAACCCTCACGCTAACTTTTATCCAGTGGAAAAAAAAGTTGGCGTTCATCCTCCAGCTTCACTGTGTTTATGCTAACATAGCTGTGTTGCTAGCGGTCACGTTGCACAACATTATATACCAGCTAGTCCAACTTCAGTAACCCTACAAACGTCACTGCTGTTTAGTTTCCTGTCTTCAGTTATGTTGGAAGTGGTAGCAGAGCTGTACATTTGAATGCTTCAGAAATATCTCAGTCAGAACATGCAGAACATGCAATATCATGTTTAGGTGGAAACTAGCGAGCTAACTTCCTGCTAACTTCTAACTCTGTTAAATGTAATAAATTCTGTTTTCATGGATGCCTGGATGTTAAACTTAATTGTTACACCTGGTAAAGCAGCAACGCTGATCATTTTATTAAAGATGAAAGAATTTAGACAGTTTTTAACTCTCGGTGATGCCGCAGTGATCGTTTGACTTTGGGACCTGAAACGGACGGAGTTTAGGACCCAGATTACTCCGCAAGGCTCCTGACTACGGTATCCGTAATGCTCCAACAATCCATCAAGCGGTGCGGCTTCGTAGCTTACCAAAGTCATACTGAAGCATTTATGACAGATTTTTGAGCGCCGTGCACCACATAAAATTGGTTTGAGGTCAATAAGCACAACCAGAATTCATACATAAGGCGCACTGTCAATTGCTGAGAAAATTAAAGGATTTTAAGTGTGCCTTATAGTGCGGAAAATACAGTACTACACACTGAAAAGAGGACGGCTACCGTCATCTACAAAGGTGACCAATGAGTAGTGTACTCACGAGCAGTGGGTCAGAGAAATCCGGCAGGTCAGGCACAAGTATGCCCACCAGGGCACAGATCACAATAAGCACCGTGCACACACCCAGCACCACCACTGGCCAATCAGCTATTAGCTCAGCATAGCTGTGAAAAAGACACATAAAAGTTGATGACAAGACGTCCTTTGACAGTTGATTTCAAACAGCATGTGCCTCTGATTACATACAGAGTAGGAGAAACAAGAAAAAGCATCAAATTAGTCACTGAGGGAACAAACGGAGAAAACGAAAACATGTCTTCTCTTTAAGAGTTAGATTTTACTGTAGGCTAATGGATAAATGAGGACATCCAAGTTGCTAGTTACTGCAGGATAAGTGAATCAATAAGTCGTGACTCACTACTGAGGAATGATGGATCCAGTAGAGCTCTGAATGATGGATGACAGAAATAAAGAAAGGAGGAGAAGTTTGAGCGTTTCTGGCAGGTCTTACCTTCTGGGAAATCGAAAAGGCATCGAAGGGCTGAAAACCAAAGAGAGGGAGATAAATCAGGTTTATATTTTGAAGTCAAAGCAACAACCAATCAAAAACATATTGGAGGAGACTTGAGAAAGAGTGGACATCTTTTCTCCATCATGTGCTGTTTATCTTTTTCCAGCAGGAGCGCGCAGCGTGGATATTGGACCGCTGAAGACATTAAAGCTGACATGGCTGTCAAAACCACTTTGTGCTGAACGTCTCATAATTCTCTGCTCCTTTTTCAACTTTGTTCTGATTTGACAGACAAGCTTACAGGGATTTTCTTTCTAATATACACGAGCCACACGCCGACATCTAACGACTCGAGCGAGGTACCAGCATCTAAACTGCAGGCCGACGCCAACCTGAAAACTTGTGCTGGGCTCAAAATGATCCTGAATTTCTGGCTGATCCTGACACAAAAGGATGTCAGCGTGAAGCTAAATAAAGCCTCAAATGTTCCTGATAACTGCTAAACAGCATTTTTTAAATTTCATTGAAGCCAAGTGAAGCCTAGTGTGCCATGTGCTCGATAAATCAGCACTCCAACACACACCAGGCCCTCGCCGATACAGCGGGAAGTCTCGGATTACAACTTGCACTTCCACGCAAAGACATGTTATCACATTGTGAAATCAGGCTTCCTGTTGGTGGCTGACCCAAACACGCCCACAGACACATACTTCAGCTGCTCGGGATCTATCTGGAATTCTCATCAGCTCCTCTTGGGAGCAGTGGGGGGAGCGTCCGGTATGCCGGAGAAGCAACAAACGCGCCGGGTGGAAAGGAAGAGGAAGTGGAAGAATCAGATACGACCACCTGATCACAGTGGGGCTACAGGAGATTAATGATCAAGGCTAAAGGGGTTCACGGGAGACAGACACATGTCTGTGTGGAGAAAACACACGGAACAGCCAGAGTTGGTGATTTTAGCTTCCCAAAAAACCTAAACTGAAGCTTCGCAGTTAAAAAAGATGCAGGGTTGGGGTTTTTTTTTTTTTTTGGGATGAACATACACAGCTGAGTGAATAAAAACGGGCAAACAGAAGAAAGTCTGAACACTCAATAAATAAATGAATCACATGACATAAACAAGTAAACTGATACAAGTAAACGTCACGTTATCAGAGCTGGTTTCAGCTGATATTTACCATGGCTAACACTTGCAGATGTCGATATTCGATAAGAAGAAGAAACCGATATTACCCAAAGACACTAGGGGTGCAACGATACTCGTATCGATATTGAACCGTTCATACAGTGCTTTCGGTTCGGTACGCATATGTATCGAACAATACAAAATTTTTAATTTATTTTATCAACTTTTCTTCTGACGATGCTGTCTGTGTTGAGGCTCAGTGGATCTGCGTTCGACTACTCCGCCTAGGCTGCACTGTCGAGCGCAGATCCACTGAGCGCAGCGCAAGCTAGCAAGACAGAAGCTAAGCTCCGTTGCAACATGGCAAATTGAACCTCCCCCACCCTCATTCAGATCTGGCCTTTGGAACTATTTTGGTCTTCATGTGACGTATGACCCTGAAGGTAAGCGCGTCATGGACTAAAGTAAAACAGTATGTTGGATGTGCCACGCAATGCTCAATTACATGGGTGGGAGCTAGTGTGTTAGCGCAGTTAGCTCGTTAACGTGTTGGCCAGTACTCGTTAACGGAGATTTGCCGTGTTGTGGCGTTAACGTCATTTCAGATTAACGCTGACAGCACTAGTGGGAACACAACGAATATGACTGCACATTTACTCCGACATCATCCTAGTGCAAAGACAAGTGGAAGCAGACAAAAACAACAAGCACGCATGCTACAAACTTTACCCGAGTCATTTAGACAGCCGTTAGCACATGATTCTCCTTATGGGGACCTGATATGTTTAATATGCTGCTGAGAATATAGCCCAGAAGAAGCGGATAGTATAGCTTTTATTTTGGAAAGAGACATTTCTCTGTAATAAACTCTTTTCCAAAGATGAGTGATTTCTTCATCAGATAGAGTTATTTTATTATTACTTTATTGTTTCAGCAACATTAAATTTAAAAACTGTACTTTTGAGTTAAAATATATATTTAGAATTTTAATAAATGACAAATTAAAAAAGCATGAACCTTTTTTTGTATCGAAAAAATATCGAACCGTGACACCAAAGTATCGAACCGAACCGTGAATTTTGTGTATCGTTGCACCCCTAAAAGACATGAAAATCAGTCGTTTTAAAAGAGCTGTTTATTGCACACTGATGCCAAATGAAGGCACATTCAGGCACAAGTTAAAATGATGACAAGTCGAGAGGAGAGTGTCAGGACCGTGACTACATCAATGAGCAGAGTCCTTATTGGAGGCCAGAGGGACTGGATTACCCATTCTGCCAGAAAAGTCTCTGGAAAGATCAATGCACGGCTTTAACCTGAAGCTTAAAGGATTGTAAATACATTTTTAGTGCATCACAGATTCACATCTTTACTGGAAGCTAAGTGGCCCTACTTTACTTCTCTAATGGTACAAAGAAACAGGAAGTGAGTTCTGAGGTAACCTTCTTGTGCAGCTAATCAAGTTGACAACACTCTGATTTTAGCGACATAGCCCCATGATCCAAGCAGGGTTTCTGTCCCCCCATCAAAGTCAGATAAGTCATAATGGGAACCACAAATGAACTCGCGGGACGAGTGAGGAATTTTACTCCACAGGGTTGTAAGGAGGTTGTAAATCCCCTTTAAAGCCCCACTGGGCCTTTTTATATGGCAGCCAAATGTCAAGTGGCACAAGCTGAGAGCACAGTTTGCCAACACAGGTATGCACAGACACAAACAGGCCATCACTCACGCTCGTCTGGGGAAAGAAATGTTACAATGCAGTGTTGTGCTCCAATGCTCCGGGCTCCCTGCAAACAGCACCACACAGAGCCCACGGCATCAAGCCGGCCTCTACACTCCTCAAATCCCAAACGGATCGAGCACGGATCAGTTGGAGGGAGGTCCAATCCAGCAAGGCCTCACCGGATCTACTGCCTGTGTCACAATAGTGTTAACCAGGAAAAAAGTCCACTCACAGATGGACCTGAGTGTTTTCATAGCATTAAGCCATTTGAAGCAATGGCTTTAAATTAGCTCCTTTTAATTGATCAAATTAAAATGTGTTTTCCTCCCTTTGCTCTTCGCTCTCGTATATTAGAGACTTTTTCCCCTTCAGCTTTCAAAGTGACCTCTAACCCGGTTTAAACCAGCAGTACCTAATGAAAGCCACGTTTCCCCAGCCCTTCTTTGAACACGCAGCCGAGGGAAAACTCTGGATTGCTAATGTAATTCATTTCACTGGGCGCCGTCTCTTGGCTTTCCATGTATGGACTTGAACTGGAGACCCCAGGACACAGATATGGCCCAAGATGGAGGAGTCGAGCTATCGGAAATACTTGGAGCAGATTCATAAAAGCGCTGTCAGGCTGTCTGTTTGTCTACTAAATGGACTATTTTGAATTTTGGCCTGCAACTCTCCAATCTGAATTCATTTCAGCCAATTGGAAAGCTGCACAGCATACTTGGATGCTTTTAAAGAAGACAAGAGATGATGGATTCTTGATCTATGCAGTTCACAGCAATAATTTATGCCATTGTTATAAAACTGAAACTGGCAAGCTGGGGTCAACATGATCTCAAGAACTGCAATCTGTAAAATGAACAAAAACCACCTAAATCCTTTGACCTGCCACATCAGGTTTCCTCCACGACTCTCTGGTCCCTCCTGACCATGCCGCCTTCCCTTTCTTCCTTTGCTTGCTGCCTGCTCTCTTATTTTCCTTTTCCCTCTCCTCCGCCCGTGTAACCTTTCACTGTTATTCTATTTACCAGAGGGAGAGTGTTTCTGGATCACTGGGCTAATTAATAAGGTAAACATAGACGGCCCGCCGCTCACTCAGCACGGCGCTGACAGAGAAGCAGCTGGGGACCGAGGGGTGGCTTTCTACACACCACGGCTCTGGCTCATCCCAGACGGAAGCAGACAATCGCGCGAGGAGCATGGCGAAATCTTTTGGGGTTCATCCAAAACGGAGATCTTGGAGCGCACTGTAACAGATGTGAGGCGATTGCTGGTTTTAAGCTCTAAGGGCCACGTTGTGCACTGCTGTTGTTGACATTTGTGCTCAAACTCGCTGCACTTCACAACTGGACAGGAACTAGCAAAATAATAAGTAAAGGGGTTAAGAGTTCAGAGGCAGAGGACGGAGTTAACTGTCAACAGACGGGTAGCTAAATATTTCACAAACATGGCCTTTAAGTCGGCGCAGGAACAATTAGTGTCAGCCATCAGGCTGCTGGGCCCGCCCTGCCCTGATTAGTGCCTCGCTGGAACGCTGCACTCAATTAGAGGCTCGATCTAGCCGTGAAATAGGCCCCGGCTACCAGTGCTCCTACTCGAATGACATCATGAGACTAGCTGGGCAGAAAAATACCACACTGTGCCCGATAACTCAGCCTAAAGAAGAATACTGTGTCAAGCCTTGGATTACATTAACACAACTGTAAACAGATACGAGGCTCAGAGGGCGTAAGGAATGGAAACTTTGTGACAGATAAATAATTGTAATGAGTAGAAATCAGCGCTTTAAGTCAGCCTGTATTTATATGCAAACACTAAAGTTCAGCTTTTAGAAAGCTCGGAAATGAGCGCGTGTGGAAATTAGCCCAGCAGTGTTGCAGTAAACAGATAATAAAATCCAAGACTGTAAACACTTGTAAAGCCATTACTCACATACATCAGAGAAATACCAAACAAGAGCAGCCAACTGTGTGCTATAAAGTGGACACATTGCTTTTACGTCTGCAAAGACAGACCGATAAGAAAGCAAGGAGAAAAAAAGGCATCAGTTAGCATCAGTGGTAACACAGTGATTCATTGGGCATCATGTTTCTAACAGGCCTCCAATAAACACAGAAACAGGCCTGGGCTGTTTAAACTAAGTTTAGACTGAGGTCAGTCGGGGACACCTCGTCTCATCCT